ACTGTATACACCGTTATATATTATAAATACATATACTACTAAATGTCAAAAAGAAAAAAATACGCGCCACGCACCTTTGAGCCAATTTGATTGCCGCATTGACCAGCTTGCAGGTGAACGATTTCCCTCATTTTGAATTGGTTGTGCTAAAGACACACTTTTCACCACAAAACAAAAACAAAAAACACTGGCAAATTGAATGCAATTGATTTTTCCTAGTGCCGTTTGCTGTTGTTGTTATTTGCTGCTGCACTACAACGCCTTTTTAACAGCCTATTAACAATTGTTTGTAGATATGCGTTTATGTATATCTAGTATGTGGGGGCACTCGCGTGTCACGGGTCCACTTGTCGTCGTAAAACACACGTACAAATGCACAAACAAATTGATGGTGCAAAAAAGTATAAGCAAAAACAATTATTTTCCTTATATTGCTTATATGCTTTGCTTGTATGTACGTATGTGACCGCGTGCGAATATCACTGTGTAAATCGTAGAACCGTACGAACGAGTATCTCGAAGATGCGACCAACTACTGAAACGAAATTCTCAATGAACAGGCTTGCTTTTGACGGGCAACCGTGGCTAGTTTCGCCGCAGAGCGGAGAGCGTTTATTATGTGAATAGTACTGAATTGTATGTGCATGTGTGTGTGTATGTATGGTTGTGCATACCGGCACTACGGACAAGTTGACAAGGTGAAGGCAAGAGGAGAATTGTAGCTTCTGCGAGCATTCTGGTGATCGGGTTAGTGTGCTACATTTAGCATGTGTGTTTGTACGTTTGTCTGTAGCTAGTGATTTGTTGCAACGAAAGTGTTGGGCCTGAGTTTTGCAGCACTGGAATTTAGGTGAATTGCCAGATTTGAGTTAGAGAAATGAAGGGAAGTAAATAAAATCCAGAAATGACAGTTTTGATTTAAACTCTTTTTTAATAATAGTGCTCCTCTGGAAGAATTGTAATCATTCCGTTGAAATATTCTATGTTTGATTAGACTTGTTTATAATAACCATTGTACGGTTACCATTAAACATTTATTAAATGTACTTTATGATGGAATTTATGTAATAATTTTTTTATTATCCATCATCAAAAATTTATTCATGAATTAATGAAATCTCCACGAGTTGGCAATCCTTGTCAAACAATTTATTCTAAAGTCATATGTTATAAAAATTTTATTGGATTTGGCAACCCTGGTGATTTTAAATTTTATTCAGTTACGCTAGGTCTTTAATCATATTTTAGTAACTTTTTATCTTATCGAGTCTTTTTAAATTCAAACCTCTTCATTTAAACTCGTATTAAAAAACAAAAACATTTTCTATTTTTATTGCGTTAAATTTTCATAAAGTCGACAACCCTTATAAGCAATTTTATAATTTTTTTATGATATAACTTTTTTTCTACTTTACATAACTTCTCTGGGTTTTACTAAAAGTTATACCCTGTGGTGACCCTATAGAGTGCATATATAAATCATCCTCGTAACGAGCTCCTTTTTCTTAAAACGCGTAGATATTCGAAGATATTTGATATATCGATATGAAATATTGGGTAGCCGTAAAAGTCATTTCGTATTTTTAATAATATTTCAATTTATTTTTTAATGGTGGATGCATCAAAACTTCCCAGCTCTCACAGTCTTTGTCGAGTCATAAAAGATGTGTGTGGTTTATGATTGGCCTAATGGAAGACGAAGCTATTTCTGTTTACTTGCTTCAATCTCATTAGTTCTTGATAGTAAAATGTAGAACCAATGATGTTTCTTTTCCAATCCCACCAAACACACAGCATAACCTTGTGAAGCGTCAATCTTGGCTTAGCGACTATGTGTTGAGTTTCATTACGCTTGGACCATGATCTTTTTCACACATTATTATCCTATTTGAACCACTTTTCGTCTCCTTTTACCACTCGGTTCAGAAATGGCTCGATTTCATTTCGCTCGAGCTTCTTTTTGTAGCCAGCCATTTTTAAATGGTTCAAAACCGTCATTGTTGCTTATGTGATGGTCCTGATCAATCTTTTCCTATTTCAGTTTCAACGAATTTTTCAACGATATCTCGATCAGAGCAAGAAGAAATACGAAAAAACTTTTTCGACTACCCAATATTTCACACTTTATTTTCCACCAAGAAGCTGCCCACTTGTCAAAATAGTGAATATGAGACTACCATAGAATATAGCGTCCCCATATACTGAATTCAAATTATTATTTAGAAAAACTTTTATATTTGGCAACATGTCTTCACGAAATTCACGAATATATTATTCAAATCGGCTGTCATTCGAGCTGACCGATCAAAATCAAGATAAAAATCTGTTATGAAGCTGTGAAAGGTATTGTAGATTCAGTGCAGCTAAAGTTAATGGCAAAAACTGGTCGAATATACACATAAGCATTCTATACCCTTTTAGATTGAGACTTTTACTGCTTATTTACTAATCATATTATTTTGACTTATAAGTTCCAAATAGTTGGCAATCTTCCAACCTTTTTTCGTACTAAATCGCTCTGCCATCACGATGTAAACATGTATTTAAGGCAGTGTTTTAATAATATTTTAAATAATTTCACTAAAAATGTTTTAGCAGGCCATCCATACATCCCTATATCATATCCCTCTTACTTCTAGCAAAAAAATTCACTTTACTGGGGTAACCCCAACACCGCGAAATCCGCTCCTGTTTATTACTATGCTGCGCTTTAATGCGTTCAGTTTTTGGTTATTTCTTGTTTTTGTATATCTGGTTTATTTGGCCCTGTTTTGCTACACACACTCAGCAGTGTGCTATCGGTGTGATAAGAGCGCGAGCATTTGTAGTAAAAGCGAACAAAGCGAACACGATCAGCGTGTGATATATTGTCGACGTCAGCAACGAGTAGCACATACACAGGCTGACACACATCACGACAGAAAAACATTTCTAAATATGTACATTTATTATGCGCGCGCATAGATACATACATATACATATGTATATATACATATGTATGTATGCAGACATGTTTTGTTGTTGGTAAATGCCGGTTTGTTGGTAGGCTTTCTTGCGACACGATCACTCAGCGCTTAAGCTCTTGGCCGCCTGATTTGTTTTGATGAGTAATTGTGGAAGCAGAGCGTCCATTGCTGCAGAACCTAGTAATATGTTTGGTAGCGCAAGTCTGAAGAATTTGTATGTAAAATTACTCAATCTCAATCTAACTGTTTATTGAATGTGATGCTATTACGTAGAAATATTAATTTGAAGCAGACATTGAGTGGTGGTACGGCTTTAGGGTTGCATTAGCTAATGAAGAGTTATTCACAGATATACCATATACTTTTGGGTAGTTGGAAAAGCATATCGAAGTAGAGGTGGGAAGTAGGAATTTTATTATTTTCATTTAAATTTTTTTTTTTAATTTTTATTTAGTATATTTGCGAAAGCATTAAAAAACTTAATCTTAGTCTGTAAAGAAAATAAAAAGTTTCATCTCGTATGTGTATAGTATATCATTGATGTAAGCCCTTATAGTCAGTATATGAAGAAAGTTATTCAACAAACCTTTTCAAACCTAAAGAGGATACATGTTTTTAATTGTCATGTTTCCTTTTTTCCAGTTGCTCCGCTTACATTTATATAAAAAATACAATACTTTAGTTACTTGAAAGTTTGTTATTGCATAGTTGATCATAGGGCTCAGTATGATCTTAAAAAAACATAGAAAGTGGCTAAACGAACAAACCACTGGCATAAATTGATTAGAGTGGCAAAAGCAAATAGAAGTATATTCAATTTTCCAAACAATGAATCGTGCCTCGTATAATGAAAGTGAACTGACTGAATCAATTACTAATATATACCAATTTAATGAGCTGCCAATGCGATCTGTAGATAAATGACTGAGTTCCAAATGCAGGCGACAAATATTATGGGGCTGTATGGGTTTCCTTGTGTACAAAACTGCTTTTTTTCAACAAAATTTTTCCCATATAAAAAATGAAATATTTAATTGTTGCAAACATACACTATTAACAAAGAAATTTTGAGACTTTTGGAAAAAAAAGTTTCAAACTCGGACATTACAACGCCATTTTCGGTGACCCCTTGGAAAAAAACAAAAATGCGCTGGTGTTCGCAAAAAAAAAAAAAACCGAACCAATGCGTGTTTTAGTTAAAACCTTAACTTACAACTTAGACGAAGGAAAAATAAACTGAATATTTGATTTTAGACAGTTTTACAAAAAAAAAAAAAAAAATTGTTAAAATTTCGCAATTTTTTTTTTCCAAATAGTTGTTATCAAACAAAACCTCCGTCCAAGTCTTTAAAAATTATATCTCAAGGATTTGTGTAAAATTTCATGAAGATCGGTTCAGTAATTTTCGAGAAATCTTGACAATCGATTTCTAAAACAAAGTTTAGAGCAAAACGCGTTTAAAGACGGCGCACTTAGCCTAGCACAAGTTCTCAAGCCTGCATCTCCGAAACTATTACTCGGATCAACTGGTGAAATTGACAATATTCTAGAGGTGTTTTAAAATGAATAAGACAATAACAAATTTCTCTTTTTTTTTTAATAAAAATTTAATAGGACAGTGGAGAACGTAGAATCGTGGCCCGTGTCAGCTGATTGCTCTCTCACAACGCAGGGTTGCCAATCTCGATATACTATAGTAATTATAAAAGTTGTCTTCAATATGCTTGAAATTTTCTTAAAATAACTCAAAATCAGAGTCGAATGCGCTTATTTATAAATATATAAACTATATTTAATATATTAGTTTGTTTTTAGTTTTTATATATTATATTATAAAAAATTGTAAATGAAAACATAGATGTGTACAATACTATATACGCGTATTGAGCAATGTCAACATTGTTCAAATGAAAACAAACAAAGATGGTTGATTTCTGCGTTTTTGCCACGGGCACAACTGTTCATACATTTTGCTCGATAAGGAAGGAAAAGGAAGGAAAAGGAAGGAAGACAGTAGCGTTTTTGACTGGTTCTGCTATTAGAATGAAATTTGTTTTGAAATGTAATGTAAAACTTGTGTCGTGAATTTTTGTCCGGTTAAGAGAAGGCCGATTTTTAAACTTTCATTTCACTGTATACATATATAAGCGCAAATACATAAATACATGCGTATAATCATGCACTAATGGTGTGATTACTCTTTACTACATAAGGAATAATAAATTCCTTCAAAGCTTAGCCATTAACACAAAGTTTAGCTAGATGTAAGCAGAGTCGCATAAAAAGTCATAAGCCGCTTACAACGAATATACGCATACACAAGGGATATAAGTAAGTATGTAGTTATTAATTACGGCAGACTTTTTCATATAGAATTATGTACTTTTAGTAACCTTTTTGACAGCTAAGTTAAAAAAGTTATTGTACGTTGAAATAGTGCCTTAGCTTTTTAGAAAAAAATCGTTAAAAGCATGGTTTTGTTTAACCTTTTTTTTTTTGAGTACTAAATTATGTTTCGAATTTCCATAATAGTTTATTTGCATAATTAAGTGCTTGT